AAGTTGCTTCCTCCCTGCCTCTCCCCACCCCTGCCTGCCTGGGTCCAGGGAGGGCCTTGGCGGGGCTTCCTCGCACTCCCGCTGGCCTTGCAGGTCCACCGCCGGGCCCCTGATGTCAGGGGGTGTGGCATATGCTAATGAGTTATGCTAATGAGTTCCCCTAGCTCTTTTTCTACGAAATGACCCCTGACTATTCCAGGTCTGAAACTGGTATCCAATTGAACAAAGGCTGTGTGGGGGGGGGAAGAGACACACTAGCTGCAGTGCAAATAGTTAAGTTTATTTATTTAAATTATTTTTATTCAGCATTATGTGGACACAAAAATATTATAGTATCCAATTAAACTTTTATTCTGCTTTTACCTTAAGGAACTTAGGGCCCTATACTTAGTTCTTGGGGGGGGAAGAGACACACTAGCTGCAGTGCAAATAGTTAAGTTTATTTATTTAAATTATTTTTATTCAGCATTATGTGGACACAAAAATATTATAGTATCCAATTAAACTTTTATTCTGCTTTTACCTTAAGGAACTTAGGGCCCTATACTTAGTTCTTGACTGTCCAGTTTACCTTTACAATAAGTACATGAGATAGGTTGGGTCCCACTGATCTCCAACATGGTGCCTGCAGGTTTGTTGGCTTCTCTGTCCTTCTTACCCCAAAGCAAAGAGTCATTCTGGCTCTCCTCCATATCACTGGCGCTCCATAAGAGCCCAGGAGGCAACACCTTTGTGTCTGGAGGGAGCATCAGTTTGGAATAACTGCCTCCATTGCATAGGGACACTTAGCATGCAATCTCCCAATACGTTGTGGTTGGCTCCAATTCCCATCATGGCCATTTTGTGATTGGCTGCATCTCCCATGGCAGCAATTTTGTGGTGGTGCCCACACAATGTTCTCAGAATTCCAAAAAATCCCACAGTGTTTGGGAAAGGGAGGGGAAGTGGGGGAAGAGAGAGAAAAAGAGAGAGAGAAAAAGAGAGAGAGCTTCACTGTTGAATGAGAAGTTGAACTCACATGACATCTGCCACAAGTCACAGATGGATATGACCAGGGGCCGTTTCGTAGAAAAAGAGCTAGGGGAACTCATTAGCATAACTTATTAGCATATGCCACACCCCCTGCCATCACCGGAAGTGTGTCATAAGGCCACACCCCCTGACATCACCGGAAGTGTGTCATAAGGCCACACACCCCACCCCCAATGGTCCCGGCCGCCGCCGCCCTTGCAACTCCACTGCCGAGCCCCATGAGGGGCCCGGTGGTGGACCTGCAAGGCCGGCGGGAGTGCAAGGAAGCCCTGCGAAGGCCCTCCCTGGCCCCAGGCAGGCAGGGGTGGGGAGAGGCAGGGAGGAAGCAACTTACCCTCCCTCTTCTCCTGCCTCCTCCTGGCTGAATGAGGGCCGGAAGCGGGGCAGCCGGAAGCAGGGGGCGGG